CTAAAAATATTGGTTCCGAGTCGGAATTAGAAGATTACTACGATTCAGATTTAGATATGGCAAAAGTTAATATTAATAAAAAAGAAAAAAATAATGACAAAATAGAAGAAGAAATTGTTGATGATTTTGATGCAATAAATTTACTAACACCTAATGAAGACATTGATTCCATAAAAATGTTTGATTCAACAGTGTAAGTATACATATTGTATTTACTAATATATATTCATCATTATTTAACCCTGAGTACTCGTAACACTAGCGGGTTTTTTTCACATATATATTTTTAATCTGTAGAATTTTGTCCTTTCAATAAAAATTTAGCACAATTTTTGTAAATCTGTAAAAGAAATGCTTATAATGCAAATACTTCAGGGTTGTGTTCTTTAAATTATTATTATTATTACAAAATAATTATTTACATGGATGAAATATTGAGTTTCTTTATTTTATATTATATATATATATATATATATATATATATATAGATAGGTGGCAGCTGCGAGGAAACCAGTGAGAGGAGAGAGTAGAGAGCGCATGTGAAGGAAGGTTGAGATGAGCAGTTGGCAGGCATGAGAACCGAGAATGAGAGAAGAGTTGGCATTGCAGAAGAGGGAGAGGGTATAAGGTAGCAACGAGATAGAGAGATAGGAAAGGAAAAAGCTAAGTAAGTAAGCGAACGACGTAAAGGTGGAAAATGAGAAGAAGGAAAATTACAAAAGAACAACAGGAGGAAAGTAAGTAGTAAATGCATATGAGATGGCAGAAATAATTAGGAAGGTTGATGTAGGCAGGTAAAGGTGGAGAGATAGGTTATAAGCACTAACACTTTCCGATGCAGTGACAGGAAAAGAGAAGCCGACGAGGATTGAAGATAAGAAAGAAGAGATAGATTGGATAGAAGAAGCAGTAAAGGAAATAAGGGAGGCAAGAAAGGAATTTAGGCAGGAATGTATGGAAATCAAAAAGGAAATAAAGGAGATGAAAGCGCAATTGGATAGGCTGGAGGAATGGCAGAGGCAGAGAAAGGAGAGCGAGGAACGAGACGAGATGGAGGAGGAAGGACCGGATAGGAACAGCAGACGGAGCAAAGAAGAAGTGAAAGCGGAGGAAGCATGGAGATGTAACGAGAATCTGATAAAGGAGAAGAAGGTAGAAGAAGAAGAGGTGGAGAGCAGCGAAGAAGGACGGAATGGAGGAAGTTGGGTGAGAAGCTGGTGGGAAGAGGCAGAGAGTGAGGAAGAAAAAAAGGTCGAGAAAAGGAAGAAGCAGGAAGAGGTCAAAAGCACAGAGGTCAGACAGAAAGAGGACCGACCAAGCGAAAGGAAAGGATGGATGATAAAGAAGCATGAAAGAAGAGCTATAGGAGAGGAAAAGGAAATGGATAATACAGAATGGTACGAGGATAGGAAAAGCAAAAAAGAAAGAGATGAAAGAAGAGAAGAAGAGGAAAGCTGGCACGAGAAAGACAGAGTGCGAAGAATAGCGGAAGCCATAGAGGAAGATGTAAGAAAAAGAAGAGAAAAGAAAGAAAAGGAGAGGATTCAGAAAGAGGAGAAAGAAATGGAAGAGAATGAGAAAAGGAAGAGAAGGAGCTTAATATGGAGAAAAGTAAAAGGAGAGGGACCGAAGGAAAGAAGAGAGATAATTGAAGTTATTATGGAGAGAGTAACAGGAAGAATGATACCGATTAGGAGAGTGACAGAGGCAATGGGAGTAGATAGGAAGGAAATGATTTTCATGGAGTTAGAGGAAGAAGAGGACAAGGAAGAGATAATAGAAAGAAGCGAGGAAATATGGAGGAGATGGGAGGTGGGTGTTGATGAGGAGCTGACAATGGAAGAAAGAGCGTATAGACATAAAATGGTTAAAAAGGCGAGAGAGGAAAGAGCGCAGGGAAGAGCAGTAGTAGTGACTAATAGAAGGATATGGATTGATGGGAAAGAGGTAAAGTGGGACGAAGAGAGAGAGAGATGGAGAAGGATGTAATACACCAAAGAAGAAGTAGGAAGGGAGCTAACGGAGACGGAGGAAACGAGAGGAAGGAAGCGACAAGAGGCAGAGGGAATGGAGCAAGGAAGAAGAGAGATGGAGAAGAGTGAGAAGTAAGAGTAGGCGAAAGAGAACCGTGCAGTGAAGGAAGGCCGAAGGAAATAGCATAAAGATGCGGGGGTGTGTGAAAAAGAGAGAGAGAGAGAGAGAGAGAGAGAGAGTGAGAAAAAGAGTACGTGTGTGTATGAAAGAGAGAGTGAGAGTGAAGCAGAGAGTGAGATGAAGAGAAGTTTAAACGTCTATTAAGCTGACACAGCCAATTCAGCACAATCGAATAAAATTTATACAGAAATTTAGTGCTCTTTTGTTGCTAATTTGTTGCTCAATTCCCAATTTTGTTGCTCCAGCCGTTTCGGAGAAAATAGTGGCTGTGCTAACTTATGTTTAAAGTTAACACAGCCATTCAAAAAATTGTGTTAAATAAAAAAATAGGACATATACTTTTAGTGCTTTTTTGTTGCTAATTTGTTGCTCTATTCCCGATTTTGTAATTTTATTTTTAAATCCTGGAAACTACCCCCAAAGCTATTTCTCCTTAAAAACATACTCTAAAATTGCAAATTAGTCAGATATTAATTAATTATGTTCAAGATTAGTTAATTACGTTT